TTTGAGTAATACTGAATTAGATTATAATTTTATCCATTAAAATCTAGCGAAGAGAGAAACTTCAGCAATTTATTGAACAAAGAGGATTTAATAAGAGAATTGTTAAGCAATATAAAAAAAAACTGTTAGTGAGGTTAATGGACAGGAACAATGAGAACATTAAAGTATTATGGGATAGGGTTAGCAGGTGGCACGGTGGGTAAGGCATTGGACTCCCACATAGCCAACCAAGGTTTGAGTCCTGACCCGGGGCTTACTTCCTCACTTTCTTTTTCTCTCTCTGCTTGTCTCTCTCTGGTGAATGCACATCTCCAATAGAAAATTAAAATAATAATTCTAATTATAATAATAAAATTAAATTAAATTAATAATTCTTTTTTAAAAAGTGTCATGGGATAGCAACTGTAGGAAACAGTTACTACCACAATGAAGGTACAATGGGAAGTGTTAAAATGAAATCTTTCTTGTGTAGAGCAGAAGTTCCCAACCTTTCCAGCACCAGGGGCCCATTTAATGGGAAGACAATGTTTCCACAGGTCAGGATTTGGGGGAGGAGGAGAGTTTCAGGATGATTCAAGTACATTACATTTATTGTGTACCTTATTTCTTTTCTTTTTTTTTAAAGAATTACTTTATTTGACTTTATTTATTTATTTATTTATTTATTATTTATTTAAATGTGACCAGAGAGGGACAGTGTGAGAGAGAGAGAAAGAGGGAAAGTAAGAAAACAAGCCAGTAGGTCCAGGACTTGAACCACAGTCAGTCATGTAGGAGTTCAGTGCCCTTAATCACCATGTCACTTGCTGGCTCCTGTGTACTTTATTTCTATTATTATTACATTGTAGTATTTAAAGAAATAATTATACAATTCAGCATAGTACAGAATCAGTGGAAGCCCTGAGCTCTTTTTCCTGCAGTTAGATGGGGTCTCCTATGAGAATCTAATACCACCGATGATCTGACAGGAGGTGGGGCTCAGGCACTAATGTGAATGATGGGGAGTGACTGTAAATACAGATGAGGCTTTGCTCACTTACCTGCCACTTACCTCTTGCTGTGTGGCCTGGTCCTAACAGGACACAGACCACTACCAGTCTGTGACCCAGGGGTTGGAAACCCCTGGTACAGAGGAGAGACTGATGAAGCTGAAACTTGAACCTCTATGAAGGAGCTAATGACTAGCAATGCTGCTTTCTAAGAAGGAGGTGGTAATACTGGTTCTGCTATTAGTAAAATGGGCAAAGTATCCTCTACTGCATCTATGGAAAACTCTTCCCCCTATGCTTAGCTCCTGGAGTGAGAAAGTGTAATTAGCGAGAAAGTATCACCTAAGGAAGCAAGCAGGAAACAGACAAGAAGGAGACCAGAAGCTCAAGGAAAGACAGTTCTTATTTAGAATCCCTGATTATTGATCTAAGACTGAACCTACTGAAAAAGCAGAAATGTGACTTCGGCTCCAGCACCACAGTATTAAATAGAGACAGATGTGCTGGAAGTCAAAAGACAATAGCTTAATAACAATCTATGACGAAAGTAATTCATCTATGCAATGTGGTATTACATGCCTCAATTTAAAATCATGTTGCTCATGTTTAGATTATGTTTTCTTAAACCCTGTAATACTTTTGTAATACTAGAAACACAGAGGAGAAAAGATATATCTCATTTGCTCAGTAAGAAACTAAATTCCTTTGAAGGTCTCTTCAAAGAATTTGCTTCCACCAAATATATTTCAAGTCAAATGTTATCAATTGAAGTCCTGAGTTTAATTAACAGATTAGGTTACCTTTGAGAAATAGATTTTTACTTTACCCTATGTCAATTTTCTCTGTTTCTCTTGAGACATGGCTAACTTAAAAATTTTAAGGGCACTTCAAAGACGTCTTCACCTCTAATTTATTGTCCTTATTGAAAGATGAAGTGTTTAAGTGAAGTGTAGAATTGGTGTGGGAAGGTGAATAAAAGAACACAGAAAAGAGGAAAATATCTTGATAGACTAACTGTTCTTTCCACAGATTTTCTAGTTCTGAGAGCTTGAGGCTCCAGGCATAAAAGAACAGCTTAGTTTCAGGACATGAGAATGTAAACACTATTGTGTTTACACTATTGTTTAAGGTTATAAAAATCCCACACAGTGTTCAGAGATGAGATTATTTTGTGTGTATGTGTTTTGTTTGCTTTTTTGTTTATTTTAGAGGTTTTTGCCTCATGGTACATGCACTCGCTGGAAAGAGAGAGATAGTCACAGTGAGAGAAAAAGTGAGAAATCACTTCCCAGGAGGAATAGCCACACTGAAATCCTTTCACCTTTGTTCTCTTCCTGGGATCTTGGGAATGCATGCACGTGCCTAGCATGAGTTTCAAGCCACCAGATCTGGAACTTGAACCATGGTCATCCATGTGGGAGTTCAGTGACATAACCACTATACCATCTGCTGGTCCACAAAGATGAGGTCTAATTCTATGGATCTCAGCATTAAGTACACATAGCAAAGTTTAAAAAAATGAGCTGAATAGGCAAATGCACAGCGCTGGGGTCTTGAGTCCATGCACGACCTTTGAAGAAAAACTGTCATTATGGAATTATGGTGCTGCCTATGTCCACTGCTGCCACCACTCTTATGGAGGACCTGCAGAGAAAATTCCAGGAATACCTTGCAGCCAAGGATAAACTGAAAACCAAAACATGGAGCCTCATCTAAAACCCAAGAATAACTGCCTAAATCCACTACCTTCTAAATCTACATTAGACCCAAAAAGTATATTACCAACCATGTTGTCTTGCCTGTCATAACCACAATGCCCATCAGTATTAAACTCCAGCCCAGAACAGCCAATATCACAGGGTCACAGAAGCCAAAGTTGGAGCCACCAAAACTTGTGAAAAAATGGCTCACTTCAGGATGTGTTTCTTTAACCCCCAATGGTAAGCCTTCCAGTACGACTCGTCAGTTGCACGAAGTGGATTATTCATTGTAGGAGAACTGTCAAGAAAATCTGTGGGGTCACTCAGTATGCAGGAATTGAAACCTTTAAAGAAAGAAGCAGGTAACAGATCAAGGAAATGCTAAATGTATAGACTGTGTGGACAGTACCTGTGTTGAAAACCAATCTTTGGATAGCTTTATAAAAGAGACGAACAAAGAGAACTTGCCCCATATCTTATCAGAACCTGAGAGGAAGCCAGATTCTGAATTGTGTGTCATAACTAGGACAAACTCTTATAATCCAGTCAAGGAGCAGTTTGGCTCTTAACCAAGCCATAGGCAAAAGTTCGGTGAATAGTGCTATTCTTAAAGACAATTAATAAAGAGAAATACAAGGAGCAGGTCTAAAGGAGCAGGTCTTACAAGACCAGGAGAAAAACACCCAAGGACAGTTCCCTCTCACCTTATTCAGATTTTTAGTAGGGTTCAAGCATCAAAGAAACCAGTGGTCAAGGACTTAAAAGATATAAAGGTTAGAGTAAATATGAAGGACCACAAGAAACTAAGTCACAGTCATACCCTGTTAACAAACAGGAAGAAAAACCTTCTAAGCCCAGGATATACACCAGTTTGCTTCTGAGTGGATATGATAACCAACATTCAAACTTAAAGCAAAATCAAAAGTCCACTCAACCTTGTTACAGACCTCCAACGTCGTGTGTACCTCAGAGATCAAAAGCTATAAGCCAGAGGTCTCATCTGACAATTGGCAGCTTTAATTCAGTTGTTTCAAGCACAACAAGAATTAGAGCAGATGTAACCAATGGTAACAAATACAACAACTTTCAACAAAATGCACAGACTTTGGACTCTAAGCTGAAAAAGACTGTTCCTCAGAATTGTGTTCTGAACATGACAGCTCCCAAAACGCAAGCTGGTCACACAACCATGAATAGAAAGGAGTTCTAAATGAGACCCAAACTAATCCAGATATGAAAAAGAAGCTAACAGCAGAAGATCAAAGGAAACAACTAGAAGAACGACAGAAATCAAAGGGGAAAATCTATGAATGGCTTCCTATGGAACTTAAAACAAACAGAAAAATAATAGAGGAAATGAATATTTGATTTGGAAAGAGCATTGAAAAGAAGAAGAAGAAAAGAAAGTCCAACTTGAACTGTCCAATAAAATTAACAACACTCTGAGCGAATGTCTACAGCTCAGAGAAGGGCATGTGCCTTCTAATGAAATATTTACCATATTGTCCAGCATTCCTGAGGCTGAAAAATTTGCTAAATTCTGTATCTGCAAAGCCACGTTGTTGGCATGTAAATGCAGCTTTGTTGTTACTGGTGTATATTAAGAAGCCATTAAAAATGGAGCAACTCCAGCACAAGAGTTACTATATTAAGAAACAATTAAAAATGGAGCAACTCCAGCACAAGAGTTGTGAGAAGTTGTTCTTAATATTTATAAAGACATGAATAGAAATAAGGAAGAAATTTCCTCCAACTGTTTAGTTGCTAAAACTAATATAACATCAGTAGAAGAGCTGGTCATGAAGATGGACTCTGAAAAGCCTTGTCTTTCTCCGAAAGAGCAGAAACAGGTAGTAGCAGTACCCCCAGATAACCAAAGTAGAACCACATAATCATTCTTGTATCAGATTATGGATCACCTCAATCCCAAGCTTAGATGGAATGCTGGACGTGCAAGGCAGAAGCTCAGAACTCCTCTGCAGCATTCAGCAAGGATCCAGGGGACGGTGTCCTGCTACCCGGTGACGCTGCAGGAACATGATTTAGAAGTGGCATCTCTTGATGAACTATTAGAAGTAGAAGAAACAGTGCTTCATATTTTGTAAAAATGAGGCTTTGCCTGTAACATTGGGGTTTCAAATTCTTGAGTCATAATTTCTTGATGCTTCTTTAAAAACAAATAAAAGTGTTTTAGAGCCTCTGTGAGAAAAAAAAATTAGGCTGAATATTTGATATAAGTTTTTCTTAAGTTTTGAACCCTAGCAAAGATTAATTTTGTTAAGATTTTTCTTATTTTTTTTTCTTTTAAAGGGAAGAAGAAGAAGAAATTGATGAAGAGGAGTTAGAAAGATTGAAGGCAGAATTAGATGAGCAAAGGCAAATGATTGCCACTGTAAAGTGCAAACCTTGGAAGATGGAGAAAAAAATCGAAGTTCTCAAGTATGGTGCCAGTTTTTTTAATTTTTAATTTTTTTTTCAATTAGCCAGAGAGAAAGAGAGCGAGAACACAAAGGGAAAGTGAGAAAAGTATTCCCATGGGGCATGATCACACTGCAATGCCTTCTCCTCCATCTCTCCCTCCTGTTGGAATTTTGGGCATGCACACAGATGTACAGAGTGTGTTTTTCAAGTCGTAGGATCCAGGATTCCAGGCATGCCTTTGGTTATGTGGGATCCAACTTTCTTACTGTCAGTCCAGAGATTGGCCCCAGGTGCCACTTTCCTTGATGTGGACCTCCTTAATCTTCAGAGTATTACCTAAATATTAGAGATAATACTATGTATGTCACACACATACATATACACATATTTGACACTCATGATCATATATGATAATTATATATATGAATTATGTATAATACTCATCATATATCATATGCTCATAGTCATTCCATTATGAGATAATGAACTAATGATTATAAACTGGAAACAACTATGAGAAAATGTGTTGTTTTAGCTTCTCTATGGTCACCTCTAATCATTTCTTCTGAAACTGGAGTTTCCTTAGTAATACATTCATTACCATGTCTCTGAAAGAGAGACTATATTTGAACTTCACAAGTTTGCAGGGACTACACACTCTCGTTTCTCTGCAGGGCTCCAGTCCCAAATGATCTTTCTGTGTGACAGCTCTCATTAAAGTACAGGGAGGATGCTAAACCAACATAACAACAAATAGGATTCCAATTAAGGCTATGCTAATTGCTATTGCCTGGTAACATGTCAGTGACCCAGTTTCAGTCTTGTGTTGACTGCTGATGTGAGTGCAAATACTCAGAGCACAGAGATCTACAAATGCTCCACATGCAAAGTCAAATGTATATTTCATTCTGGGGGATGGGAGCAGATTAACCCCTGAGGCTCGCACTCTTATTTCCTTGCCCTAGTGGCTGGAAGGGTGAGGCCCTGAAAAAAACAATGTGTCTATTTATTTATTTATTATTTATTTATTTATTTATTTATTGAGAGGTTTTCGCTATAGGGCGCGTGTGCTCGCCAGACAGAGACATAGAGACAGAAAGCGAGAAATCACCCCCCAGGGGGGATGGCCACGCCGCAATCCCTTCTCCTCCATTCTCCTCTCGGCATCTTGGGCACGCACGCACACGCACCGGGCCTGAGTTCTAAGCCACTAGGTCCGGAATGTGAACCGCGGTCGAATACATGGGAATCCAGTAACATAGCCATTATGCTAACTGCTGGTTCCCAATGTGTCTATTTCAACAGCCATGGTTGCATCTCAGTTTTGCCACAGATTGCATTTTTTCACAAATCTTTTTTTTTTTTTTAATGTAGTGGTAAGTTTCCAAAACTATTTCCCTGGAGGCCTATTTAACTAATAATGCTTTTGAAATGATAGCATAGTTTTGTTGTGATAAAAAAATAAGGAACCGAAGTAGTTGTCAGGATAATTCACTTCAAGTCTTGCTCTGTGAGAGCTTGTGTATTTTTCGAAGACATTGCTTAAGCTCCTGGAGCCTTCGTTATCGCGTATCTAAATTAAAGGAAGATATTCTAGGCTTTCCGTGAGCTTGGAACCTAGCCACCTTTTATAATAGTATCATTTTGTTTTGTGGAATAGGATTGTCCAAGTTCCTACCAGTGATCTTCCCAGCAAATTTTTGCAGCACAACACAGTTGTGGTCTGAGATCTCCCAGGGCACATGTATGCATCTACTGTGGACGACGGCAAAGCCAGATTCCACTATTACTGTGCACGTGTGCATGTGTGTATATATTAAAATAGTTTTCATTTAATGAAATGATAATAATTCTAAATTATAGGTTTTAAAAATATCCTTACTTGGCAAAATGGAAACTTGGCAACTCTGCTGGTCCCCCAAATATATTTCAAAATATTAATAGCTCATGAAATCTTAAAACATGAAAGCATAAGTAACTATTTAGAGAAACTTGTAAAAGTACAAAGTAATAGACTGTAAAAACTTGAGTCATTAAATTGAATAAAATGCCAAGGAGTATCCCACTTTTACAACTGCATGGAGGTATAGCAATACCCTCACTCCTCATTGTCTGCTTCTCTCACGGAGGACAATGGAATAGGAGTGGGCTTCAACTTGAGTTGGAATTTAAAACCTTCCATTTAATAGCTTTGAAAGTTTGGATCAGTTGTGCATTTCTATAACCTCAGGGTTTTTTTTTTTATTAAATTACACTTACAGACAGTGATTTGGAGTCATGAAATTAGATAATTTATATAAAACAATGAGCATGATACCAGAAAACAGCATATAGTTGAGAAACACAACTTTTATTTATTTATTTGTTTTATTTATTTATTTTTTTGGAGAGGTTTTTGCTATAGGGCGCATGAGCTCGCCAGACAGACAGAGAGAGACAGAGAGACAGAAAGCGAGAAATCACCCCCCAGGGGGGGATGGTCATGCCGCAATCCCTTCTCCTCCATTCTCTTCTCTGGATCTTGGGCACACACACACATGCACCTGGCGTGAGTTTTAAGCCACCGGGTCTGGGATGC